TTTTATTTGGTGCAATTTCTGGGTTTTTCCGCTTGCCATGTTCAGCCACGCCCCCTGATTATGTATTTTGGCCTACTTTGAAAGGCGTTGATGCTAAATTATGCCGTTATTTTTTTCTTCCCAACTACTACCCAACTTGCACCTCCCTGTCGGTGTTCGAAATCATTTTGCCAGTGTGAGTTGGCTGGAAGTGGGTGTTGTTGTTGCTGCTGGATCCTTTTAATATGTTGCACAAACAGCAATTAAAAATCCAGTTAGGCGGAAAACAGGCAAATTGAACGTATTTTAGCCAGGCACAATTAATGGTTTTAATTGGACCAAAACTAAAACGGAAGCGATAATCCTCTTTATTCCTTTTCAAAGGTTGAATTTGTTGATTTAAATGGGAGTAAAATGAATATAATTAATCGACTAAGCATTATGTTTATTTATTGCAAATAAAAACATTTAAAAATGAACTAAATTCATTCAATAAAAGTTTTAATATCTTATTACTCTTAAATTTGATAACATTATTTCACAAAATAAAATGGCCACTATCTATTTTGATGAATTCCTCTTAATTCCAAAGAAAGTTTATTGTTATTTCACTCTGGGAAATGAAGGAAATTGAAAACCCTTCCTTTGGTCATTCAACATTTATCGAGAACCTCAAAGAGGTGGTCATTAAATATTTTATTATTACATTTTCTAATAGTTGGTTACGAAAGAAAGGAAAATGCGCCACGAAATGTCGCAATTCGAGTTCGAGGGTTCTAAAATTTAATTTATCAAAACTTCTGCTACGTTGAACCCAAGTCAGACAGAGACACAGAACAAACACACAAGACAGAGGCAGCGCACGGAAACCGGAAGGAGCCGGATGGTGGGAGCAAATTTCGAGCCTGCACTTCCGCTTTTAGTAGCATTTGTGGTGGGGCAATGGGTGGTTTATAGATGCAACCCATTGGTGGCTAGAAATCCACCATGTCGCGTGTGTAGGTTATTTATAATGCGACAGGGCTAACTGAACAACACGAGTTTATTAGCAAACGCAATTTACGAGCTGACACAATTTTAGGGCCTATCTGCGTTACGTTTAATGTGTGGTGCACACTTTGATGGAGCTGCTGGGCAGAATGTGTGCAGTCAGCCAGATGGAAGAGCCTATTTATGGGATTCCATTTGGAAAACAGCGCTAATGCTAATCTAGGCAAATGGAAATCTTGAAAGCTACGGATAAGTGCCTCTAACTCTGATTGATTCGATGTTTTATGTTCGAAGAATGGGTGTCGCATTAGTAATGGATCTATGGCGGAAAAATATTGTATTTAGATGGGAAGATAAATATATAAAATAATTTATTTATTTAATTTTAATATTATTTAATATATTTTTGGAAGCCTTATGAGCAATGATTTTCTAGCGGTAGCAATTTATTACCTTTTTTAGATAATATAAATGATAAAAGAATATAGAAATCTTTACTATATCCTCTTTAAGATCCCCCACTAATTAAAGCCAAGTCATAAGGTATGCAATTCAAAAACCAAATAGCTGAACTTTCCGCCTCGTTTCCGTCCTGCACAGCCCACAAGCGCTCTTTCATCATTTTCCAGCAGAAGCTCTATAGAAAGTCTGAAACTAATGCATGCCAATTTTCAATACAGAAAATCGAACTTTGAAGTGGACGCCTCTCTGCCACGCCCCACATTGCGTTACTTTTGCCGATGGGCGTTATGCCAAGAGGGGAGAGAAGGAGGGTCTAAATGGGCTGGCGGGGATCTGCAGACGGCACTTGGCGTGCATTTCTATTTTGCTTGGCCGAAAAACTCTTGAAACTATTATCGATGAGGCGCCTGCCCGCTCAATGGGGAGGTTATTCTTAAGTGGACGAGGGCGTCACTGACACCGTCAATACGGCTGACAAAGATGGAATGCACTTAAAAACAAATTAATCTTAGTTGACAAATTATGTAATCATTTATATTTACAAAGAAAGATAAAAATATTTATGGGATTAGGCAATTATGTTTGTTATGTGTGTTATTTCTTCGTTAAAATGTTTATAAAAACCAACAACAATCTCTAAATAAAAAATGTAATAAAATCTAAAAATAATACCAATTTTTTTTCACTGTATAGGCCATAGAGTGCTCGAATGATGGCGATGCCAACGAACGCGTTTTGTGCGTGTTAAAGCACACAGGGGATATAAAAAGTGAAAAAAAAGAAAATACGAAAATATGAAAATATCCCTGGAACACTTAACGGCAGGGAAAGCGAAGGGAAAGCCTGGCCAGCACTTTACCACTTTTTATGCCTGGCGATAAATTAAAATTTTTATTAACATACTTTCTCCGGCGAGAAAATAGTTGGAGGAAATAACGGAAAGAACCAGGAGTCGCGGACCAAAAACGTCAACTTGTCCGGTCCTTGTCGGCGATTCCCCGTGAAGGAGCCCAGCAGGGCTCGGAGAGGGGGAATTATAGTAAAGGGACTCTTTATGACTTTTGCAAACGCACGCTGAAACTGACCAGGCACGCCCCCTCCAAACCCGCCTCCCTATTTCTGCACCTATTCAAACCAACGGACCAGCCAAGCTGGAAGAGCCATCGCAATTATAATTTGTTGATGCAGGAGGAACCGGAACCCGAGGAAATGCACTTTTTCATCTGGATCACTAGGGGGAAATGACAGGGGATATGGGGTAGGGGTATGGAAATCGGGAGACGGAATCTGCAGCCTGGCCATTATCTATGCATTATTGTGGCTCGGCCATTGGCCATCTGCCGCCTGCCGTCTCAGCAGAAAATAATATTCTATTAAATTATGTATACGTTCTTGTTGGAGGATTTTGTAAAGTGAATATTCTTCGACTTGTCGTGCCCAGAAGGTTAGCTTAGTATTAGAGAATAAAACTTAAATTATATAATAATATTTAATTTTTCCATCTTTTTCCCAAAATAATATATTCTTGTTATAAAAAGAAAAGAAAAGGTAATTTTAAGAGTTGCAATTAATATGAAATATTTAAAAATTGGCTTAGTTTTTCAAATATAATTGTGTTAAACTTTTATATAAATCAATTTTCCCAAAGAACTTGTTAAGCCAACCAAATCGCATCGCAAAACCAATTAAACATTATTTATGTACAAGTTTTATACGGAACCGGCAAAAACGCAAATAAATACATTGGTTTGTATTTAAATTTTTCGCTCATTTAATTAATTATTAAACGAAGCATACATAATTCCGATCTCGTGCTTAAACGTGGACGTGTGGGCGAAATGCAAAGCCCAGCTAAAGGACCTCCTCGTTGGGATATCCTTCGAATGGCACGTAGACAAACATCCCTGCACACTTTTCCCCTTGGCCAATGCGTTGGAATGCAAATATTTTCCACTATAATTGAAGCGCGACAAATGCGATTGTGATTTTCGATGGTTTATTTTTGGGGTGGGTCAGGGTGGCAGAGAGGCAGGGGCCTCTTCCAAAAGAGGTAAAACAACACGCTTTTAATGCACATGCAATTCAATCATCCAATTTAGTTTGCGAATAAAAATGATTCGTTCGAGCAGAAATACGGAAAGGGAAGTACGGACATTACATTTCGCGAAATGGTTTTTAAATTGATATATAAAAAATCCCCATAATTGCAGTTGTGCTTAATGAAAAAAAAAACGAAATTAATGCATGCGAGTAAAATAATTACAGCGCAGTAAATTGCAATTGCAGACAGCAGCAGGAAAATCGAACAATTGTCGCACATTAACCACAGATGCGTTTGGATGGTCAAGGATGGCGCAGGAATAATAAGAGGGGCGGAATGGGTGGTACCCGGATTATGAACGGGTTCATTGATCCCCGGATGAATGACAATTTCGGTTCACTTGTTTCACATCGAGCCGCAGCGATTATAAGCGAGACAAAGAAAGTCTTCGGGTTAATACTTCCTGTGTTCCCATTGTTTTTTTACCCATTACTCTTTTGATCATAGGGTATACATATCCTTATGATTCTATATACTTTTGTAATCAGACTTAATACCTTGGAGTGGAGTATCTTGTCATGCAAACAGAAGCCCCTGGTAGGCAAGTTCATAAATCAGCAAGGTAATCACTTTCCTTATAATTAAATAAAGTTAAAGCAATTATCTTTCTCTACTAAAAGCTTAATTAAAAACCTAGTAAAAGTGCAATGAATAGTATAAAAACACACTCGGCTATAAAGTTCATTCTTAAAACTTTATGAACCTCTGTATAAGCAGGAAATAATTTCGTAATTTCTAATAAATTCTTCTTTACATGACTGTTAACGGCTTGGACCTCGGATGGCCAAAATATTTCTGACGAATTCATGGCAGCAATAAATGCAATGAAAGGGAATTTACTGCTCGGTACTAAAAATCGCTGAAGTGGAAAACAACCAAGAAAAATGTCTTAAAATAGTGGAATTTAGTATAAGTATGAGTAAGGGAAGAAGAGTTCCCTAGAAAATAAAAGAAAAATATATAATTTTTTTTACTTTTTAAATAAGCTTTAAGTTTAGAATTTGGTTTCTTTCATCTTAATAAATATTTTAAAATCCACAAATGAATCTAAACAATAACAGGTTAATAAATAAACTTTCAAGATTACATCATTATCTTCTCACCATTAGAGCATTGCATTTTATTAGGAATTTTTCACCAAAAAACTATATAAATCTTTCGATCGCTCAATGATAAACTTAAAACTTATTATCATCTCTTAGCTTTGAAAACACTTAAAAAATAAATACTTGAAGATAAAAATATTTTCGAAGTACTTTCTCTTTTTTTATGTTTATTTTATGGCGGCTTTTATATCTTAAGACCTTAAATGATCGGAAGCTTGAACTTCATGATCTTGTTTGTCACTTTCACACCAAATATTGTCAAACCCTTGAGCTGCCCCAGGCACTTTTACCGGAATTTTCTTGTTGGCTTCGAACTCTGCCTTTTATTGGCAACAATTCTATTGTCTTTTATGTCAACTCACCAGACACAAGAGTTGATGAATTTTGTCGCTTCGCAGGATGGGCGTCTTTAGAAGGCACTCACACGCAGACAAATACAAGCACAAACACACACACACAGCAACCGAGCCTGATTGTGTATCGTGTGTTGTGTATTGGTGTAAGATATTGGTGTGTTTATTTCGTAGCGCGCCAAAAAAAAGCGAACTTGTAGGTCTTGTGTTGCGGGTCTGCGTTTCGGTTTCCGACTGACGATGGCTGATGGCTGGTGGCTAGATGGGCGGCTGGTAATGTGATTAGTTGGCCCGTCTATCGATGCTAGTGTGCCACTGTGTGCGAGTAAATTTTAATTTAATTATATCGCTCTCGTTTCAATTACGAAAACCGCTCGCAGGCGAAGAAGGCACGCACTAATAAACAAAGGCCAACAATAACAGAAAAACGGAAAAACAAGCGACGGCTGGTGTGTCGCTGCCGAAGGAAAACTGAAGGAAAATTGTGTCGAATGTGAGTGGGAGACCAAGACCACCAACCAGCGAATATGCTATGCCTCTCCCTCTCCGCTTTCCGCTCTCTGTCTCGTTATCCGAGTCTCGGACTTTTTAGCTGCTCTCTGGCTTTTCCGTTAATGAAAATGCTGGCAATCGAATGCAACTGCCTCCCACAAGCGACTGAAATATGTTGCATATGCCAAGGCGAACGTAGAGCTGCCGAGGAACAAATGGAAGTGGAACACTCCAGACTGGAGTGAATTTTGAGTGAGTGCAATGTGCAGTTCGGAGTGTCAAGGAACAACTGGAATTCCGCAACACCTGTGCAAAGGTGGTGGATTGTTAAAAAAAAGAACCGTATTATTCTTCTTTATCGCCATCAAAACGGGCACTCGAAATTTTAATTGGGTTTCCCAGTTCATAGCACTTCTATTGAACTTCCCTTTTGCTGGACGCTCATTAAGCTAGAGGGTTGGGAACTACACCGAATGACCATAACTCCAATGACTGTTTGGCATTCCTTTAAATAGGAAACACTGCGATAGTTGATAAACCCATTCGACACAATAATTTATTTGCTATTTTGCTTTAAAAAGTGTTGGTTGCAGTTAATAATCTTGTTAAAAGGTGTGAAGTATATTGGATTCAAAAACAGTTGGCTAAAAGTACTGTACCTAATAAGAAGACAGACACTCAATATGTTCAAGTATTTCGTGTACATCTTCGTTTCTTGGGATCTCATGGAAGTCCTTGCCAGACAACAGAACGTTCTGAAAGGTCAAATCTATTCGGATAATTCCCAACTGCAGCTTTTAAACCAACTTGCTGAACAGCAGCAGCAATGGTTCACATACGATTCTCAGAAAGAAACTGAAACCCAGAAGAAAATCGACTTGGTAGAGAAAACCATAGAGCAACAATTGCAGGCTCTAACATCCAAGATGGAAACCAAAGTGAAGGCCTTGAAAGACACTGTCTACTCGAATTCATCGCTTAAACTCAGACTAGACCCTTTCCAGAAAATAGGCGTGAGGCGGTTTTACATCGAGCAAGTGGTCAGAAACAATTGGTTTAGTGCAGGATACGCATGCCGTCGAATGGGCGGACACCTGGCGACAATCCAAAATAATGCAGAGCTAAAAGCGCTTATTGCAAGTGCATTACCCCACAAGTATTGGGTGGATATTAACAGTTTGGCAGACCGCACGTACTCTACAACATTCGACGGAAAGGCGGTGCCGTTTGTTAAATGGGATAACAGTTTCAAGTCCGGAAAAAAAGGCTGCGCGTATATCTACAAGGACTTAATGTGGGCTGAACCTTGTCACTACCCGCACTTTTTTATATGCCAGGAGGACCCAGGTGTAATATGATTTAATATTCTTTTTGTATTTAACGGAATGACAATAAATCTGAAGTTTTTTTTAAATCTAAGTCTGATCACAACAAATTATTTACCAATCAAAAAGAGAAGTCGTCCTTATTATCAATCTGAAACTTTTCATTTGTTTGCCGAATTGATTTATAGTACCCAAGTCCTAGACGAATATATTGTTTCCCACAAATTCTATCTTGCAAGGCAGTGACAAGGCTTAAGGGCGGCTCTATCATCAACCTTGAGGGTTGACGTGCATACCGAATGATCATACCTTTAATGATTGCCTTTGCCAAAGTTAATGTACGGTAGTTGATAAGCCTATTCGGCACAAAAATGTTTTACCATTGTTTTAATATTGAATACCATAAACAGGTTTGGGTTGTTATGGTCTATAATATTGTTAAGAGGTGTGAAATAGACTATTTAAGTCTAAACACAGTTTGCTACAAGTATTCTACCTAACAAGTTGATATCCAATATGTTAAAATATTTTGCTTACATCTTCGTTGCATGGGACCTTGTGGAAGCCCTCACCAAACAACAGAAGGTTCTAAAGGGACAAACATGTTCGAGTAATTTCCAACTGCAGCTTATAAACCAGCTCGCTGAACATCAGCAACAGTGGTTTACATACTATTCCCAGAAAGAAACTGAAACACAGATGAAAATCGACTTGGTGGAGAAAACAATAGAGCAACAATTGCAGACCCTAACATCTAAGATGGAAGCCAAACTGAAGGCCTTGAATTCATCAATAAACCCTTTTAGGAAAATAGGCATGAGGCGGTTTTACATCGAGCAAGTGGTCAGAAACAATTGGCATAGTGCAGGATACGCATGTCGTCGAATGGGCGGACACCTGGCGACAATCCAAAATAATGCAGAGCTTAAAGCGCTTACTGCAAGTGCATTACCCCATGCGTATTGGGTGGATATTGCCAATGTGGCAGACAATTCGTTCGCCACAACATTCGACGGAAATAAAGTACCGTATGTTAAATGGAAAAAAGGCTACAAGCCCGGCAAACGAGAGTGCGCTTATATCTTTAAAGACTACATGTTTACTGATCAATGTTACTTGCCGCACTTTTATATATGCCAAGAAGATCCTGGTGTAATATGATTTAATATTTTAGTTGTGTTTTAGAAAATGCGAATAAAGCTGAAAATCTCAAATCAACCTAATAATAAATTTACAAGATTTACAGACATATCATAAAAGGTACGCTCGAATGAACCACAACTATAATTTGATTCCTTAAAGGCAAGATGATATTTCCAAGGCATCTGGGCACGGCACAGAAATCCTTATACCAACAGCACTTTGGAAAATGGGCATTTGGCCAGCATTACCTCGAAACGCTCCCCAAAAGATGCCATTCTCTTTTCGTCTGACTGTGCTGCCATCCGGCGAGATAGTGACGAAGCTTGAGGGCGGCTCTATAGGGGGCTTTACATCCCGAAACACCCCCACAATCCCGACCAGATTCCCCAGACAATGACTGGCACTCGTTTACGGACTCCAGCGCTGACTTCTGCGCCGCGAGCAGGTGTTTCCATTAACATGAGGACAATAAAGGCGATGCACGCACTGCAATATGCAACAGTTGCAGACACGCAGGAAAAGCGCTGGATGGCGCAACGGCAATGGGAAATATTGGTGATTGCCAGTGGGCTGTGCAGTGTGCACATTTGTGAGCAGTTGTGTAATCTATCCATGAACGTCGCTTCCGCTTTGCATTTTATATGCTTAACGCATCGTTTGGCCGGCACAAATTGAGTTTCGTTGTCGCTCTGCTGCTGAAATATCTCCTCTCGGATGGATAGATGAATGAATGGATAAATGGCTAGATGGATGCCTGGATGAATGACACGATTATATTCTTTTCCCGCGCTATATTAACGATGTCGATCGATTGGGAATAACCATTTGACATCCAGCAGCCAACCTTTATCGTTCATCTACCGTTCGGCTATATAAGACAGCACGAGCAAGGAGCCAATTAAAACATTTACCCAATCAACTTACTCAAATTATGCGATTTTCATAAGAGCGCAGAAAGTGATAAGTATGCAGAGAAGAAAATTTGATGTATTTTTTGATTTGTGGTATTGTTGACCACAAGTTTAAAGAAGTTTGAAATCTGTAATACAAATACAAGTTGTTAAGTCATTTCGACACAACAATTTATTTATTCTCGAAATATTTAATGCTTTTAGTTTTGGTTACAGTTAATAACTTTGTTAAGAGGTGTGACAAAGACTAGTTAAGCCAAAAAACAGTCGCCTGGAAGTTTTCTACATCGCAAGTTCACAGACACCCATTATGTTTAAGTATTTTCTGTACATCATCGTTGGATGGGATCTTATAAAAACCCTATCAGCTCAAACCGAACTAAAGAGGCTTAATCAGCTTGGTGAGAATCAGCAGAAATGGTTCGAATACGATGCTCAGAAGGAAACTGAAACTCAGGGAATAATTGAGGCGGCCAAGAAATCCTTAGAGGACCAGGTGAAGGCGATACATGATAAGCTGGAAACCAAACTGACGGCGATATACAGCTTTTTGGAGCATTCTCAGTTTGCCGATGTGGACTATACGCGATCAAAATACACCCATCCGGATCTTTTCCAGACAATTGGCATAAGACGATTTTACCTCGAGATGGGATATAGACAGAATTGGCATGATGCGTTAAGCGCATGCCGTCGAATGGGCGGTAACCTGGCGACAATCAAAAATGAAGCAGAAATGTTGGCGCTCCTTTCAAAAGCTAAACGACGCCATGAGTTTTGGGTGGATATCAACAATATGGGAGATGGAGTCTACCGCACAACATTCGACGGAAAGCCAGCACCGTATCTCAGATGGGGTAAAGGCTACAAACCTGGCTCACAGGACTGCGTTTCTCTGAATGAAGATACTAAGAGAATGCACAATTCACAATGTACCCGTACACACTTCTTCATCTGCCAAGAAGAGCCGGGGGTATGAATTAATAAATTATTTGAGTTTCAGAGGATCCCTTACTTAAGTTCTGAAATACAACAACTCTTCCTATTTATTTGATTTGGTTTCCTTTTGGATTGGATATTTTGACGAAATGCTTATTGGTATCGATCGGAATATCCCTTCAGACACTTTTAACTTTTTACTTGAAATACTTAAACAACGTTTTGGCTCTACTGTTTTTCTTAGTGTCATCATCAAAGACCAGGCAAACCATCAAGTGCAGAGCTAGCGGTGCGTATTATTTTCAAATGCCTCACACAGGATGTGTCCACGTTCCGTGCAGAAGTTTGGGGGGGCGACGGGTGCAAATGCCACGCCTCCTCAATCACATGCCCACCCCCAAAAGGAAGCCACCCAAATGCTGACAAAAATGCTTTTGATTTGTGGGCCGTTCGCACACTCAGAGCCACCAGCCACGCTTATTAGAATCTTGCCATTGTGTGTGCGAGCCAAAGTGCAACTAGCAGAGACAGATAGCAAACAGCCAACAATGTGAAGTGAAACGCAATTTATGGCCAGGGTATAGGATTTTCGAAACGGGCTAATAGGATTGCGGCTGTAATTTTTGGGTCTCTTCATTTCGGCTGTCTCTTATTTTGGCATAGAAAATTTTAATTGCTAATTTAAAAAATGTGCTTTATAACGAGGTATCTGCTATTTTCGTTAAATTATTCAATGTAAAGTGCTAATAATTTAGGTCAACCATTTATACAAGAATTCCATTTGAAAAATCCGACTGGAAATTATTCTACTCCTCATCATTTTTAAGTCCGTATCCATATACATATGTATATCAATATCACAGCCTATAATCTGCCTGTTTATTATTATGTTTAAAATGACAAAATGGTTTTTAAATATTACAAATCAAATTTAAATTTGTTTAAATTTGCCTATTGATATCTAACTAAAATTATTTTCGATAAATAAAAACTGATTTTAAATTTAAAAACTCTTTGTATTTTCATGACTGCGCTGCCAGATAGTTATTATAAATTATAATTTATAATGCTAAGTGGATGTCGGCACTTAAGGTGTGACCAGACTTACAAAATATCGCTATAATACCCATTTTATTTTTGAGCAGGATTTTAAAAGAAATTCATGTCCAAATCAAAACAGTATTTAGATCTGGTAACACTATCTCATGACGCTTGAATTTTAGCGGAAAAAAACGAAAAGGAAACAACTGTAAACCCAAATATTTTAAACAAAAATCCAAGATGCCTCGCACGAAGATTTCAAAGAACTCAAAACGCAACCGCGATGTTGCCAATCGAGAAGAGAAGGTACGCTTGTACGAGCTGAAGTTGGACTCCTGCCTGATCGGCGTCGACTCGCTGGAGGCCAAGTATATGGCCGAAGTGGATCGCCAGATCAAGACTATTCAGAGTCAGTTGCAAAAGGAGCTGGCCGAGATGAAAGTACCTGAAATGCTAAAACTTTTCGAGGAACTCGACCGCTTTAGCGACTACAAGGCTAGCGATCAGACTCAGCTGCTCGCCTCGATGTCCATGAGCGGTTGCACCACCGACGGACGCGCACCCTCAGCCACTGGGAGTCGCAATGACGAAGGTTTGTTCGCCTTTCAAGGCATGTATGTAGTATTAACAACTATTATTTATAACCCAAATGTATAGCAAAAATGTTACGTTAAACAGCCTTTCAGTGGATTTTGGAAAGTATGCGCAGCCTTCCAAAGCAATTTCCCTTGTTAAACAAAATTTCAGTTGAAAAACTTAGATTTCCAAGTTTAAGAAAGGCCTTTGTATTACATATTACATTTAAACCCACCTTGATTTGATGCTGCTCTTTTAATTTTACTCTAAATGGTGTCCGGCTTTGTGACTAACTTAACTTTGCTTTCTAACTCCTCACCGCACATTTTATTCAACTCAAAATGCACCACCACCCACATCCACATCCTGTGCCGGTCACTGTACCTATCTAGGCTACCTTACAGAGGACAGCAGCATCGGAACCAGCGGCAGTAGCATTCTGGCCGCCCACACAGGATCCTTGTTATGGTCTACGAAAGCAATGCGGACGCCCGGGCCGCTGTGCTCGGCCAAGGCACGTCGTGTCCGTCGCAGTCGATCCGCCTGCGAAGATTTGAATGTCTTGCACTCGGCCAAACCGCCGCCCGTTACCAGTGGCGCAAATAGTAGTCGTAATTCGCGCAGCAAGATGCGCACACCAACGGTCTCGCGCACGAAGGCCTTCAGTGCCGATCGCACACCTTTGGCACAGAAACAGATGCGTTCCGGGTCGCCAACCACACCGCCGATGGCTTTTCTGCGCTATCCCAAGCCCGGCGAGGTGGTCCTCTCCAAGTACGGCAGCCCCATGGTGGCCCAAGTGTAAGTTTTCAATATACTTATTTATATATATTTATTAATGTAGTTTCTTTTGCTGATTAGAATGCCAGACAAGTTCGCCAATGTTAACATACCTATACGAAATGGAGTTCTCAGTCTGCGGCCCAAGAAACTGGATGCTGGTGAGGTCGAGTCAAATCTGCTTGACAACATGAACGCAGATACTTTCAACCAGATCAAAGCGTTGCACGAGAACTTGCAGTTAATCGTAGATAAGGCCAGCAAGGCGGGATTCATGTAGTTACAAAAATCATATACTTATCTATTATTTTATATCATATATTTTAGTATGTTCAGCTTTCATCTTCAGTTTTTATCTTACTAAATTAGTTCACGTATTTTGTCTTTATTTAAAAAAATTTATATTGTACGTTAATCTGGGACTAATGAATAACTAAATAATTGTTACTTGTCTTCAAGGAAATATCCAAAAACGCGGTACAATGGGAAACTTATGCCTACTATCTTATCTTAGCCTGCAATCTAAAAACAATTTAGAAAGAATTATTTATATATTTCCCAGAACTATGGAAAACTTAAGGATGACTGAAATCAAGAATGATTGTTTCGAGTTTGTTTTTATAGTTCCCTTATTATAGTTCTTATATTCAAAATAAATGTTCCCATAAATTAACTTTTTGTTTTCATCAAAGAACCCTGTGACTTGGGTATCATTTGCTTAGTAGTTTGCATTTTATCTGACATCATATAGAAAAATGCCTCGCACTAAGATATTTACACGTCGACAGGCTCAGCGCCAGAATGCCGAACGCGAAGAAAAAGTGCGTGTGGCCCAAATTAAGTTGGATGCAGCTCTGGAGCAGATCGATGATATATGCAAGCGCTACCAGCAAGATGTCGATAACCAAATAAAGCTGCTCCGTGGTAGGATTGACCAAAAACTACTGGAAATGAAGTTGTCAGATTTCGCTGCTCTAAAAATTAAGACTTTCGCTGAGCATCAGTGGACAGGTGAGATTCCCTTTTGGAATTTCAGTATATATGTTATACATTATAATCCTCTTCAGTTCCCAAGCCACCCACAACACGAAGCCTCTCCATCAGTAGCCAGCGCAGTCGAGCTCGAACTCCCCAGAATTCCCAATTACCGCGGCTACAGACACAATCAGTGGATAGGGCTCTTGATGGGAATACCATGAGTTTTGTGCGATGGCCACGAGTCGGGGAGACAGTGCTGTCAAAGGCGGGAAGCCCTCTGGCCGTTCAGTTACAGCCAGATCGCTGTGCCGACGTGCACATTCCGACCAAAAGGGGTGTCATCACCGTCAAGCCACACAAGATAAAGACCGTGAAGCGAGAAGTTCTGATGGAGTTGGACGAGAACACCCTTAACCAGGTGAAGACACTGAATGCCAATCTTGGATTGATTGTGGAAATGGCCGCCAAAATGTCAAAACCTGAAACCCCAAGAACTTTCCGAGAAAAGACAAAAATGAGAGCACTAAACTTAAATGAAACAATCGTTAATATTTTATTTAGAGTTTTTCATTTTCAATGATTTTGTTCAGATGATAAATATTAAGGGAGCGTATCTGTATCTTCTTGCTGAAGTTTGCTTTCTTATTGTTGTTATTTAATTAATTAATAAACCTTTTATATTTTAAAGTGCATCTTTATCAATTGAAAACTATTTACAGTTGTCCTAATATGTTTTTATTTTTCGTATTTTAGTGCCATAAATGCGTGCGGAAGAGAAGATTTGGTTATATGTAGTGATCACACCTCTTAGGGTCACCTCTTGGTGCTGGGGACGAAGTCCGCTGTGGAAATATTTTAGAATACAAGTTAGTCAAGAGCAGCACCACCACCAGATCCATTGCCGTTATCATCCTCTAAATTTTCGTTGAGTAACTGCAAGTAAGTAATGTCGACGGCCTTTTGGTAGTTTTAATCGTACTTATCGGCTTAGAGGAATCACAGCACAGAACTTGGAATCCCTTCAGGACTTATGTTGCTACATGCTAATGGACAGGTCCAAAGATGACCAGCACAAAGTTGATAAGGGTGAAGTTGTTGGTTCTTCCAACTCCATCCGCCTTGGTATGCCAGCTAATTTGTCGAAGTTTTCTCATTATTGTGACGAATAGGTGACCCGAACCTTTGAGATCCTCCAAGCGGAACTCCGTGGTGCTGAGGCACATCTGTCTTTCGTACTTGGCCAACCGGTGACCGGGAAAGGGCACAAAGTGGAACAGTTGTGGCGTCGAGTACAGGAAATATAGGATCTGTGGCAAGAAGAATAAAAACATGTCCCAGAATGCCGACCACAGCAAAGCTCATGCCCGCAAAGTAGCAACAGCTGTCACCGACAAACACCTGCATGAAAATAAATATGTAACGTTCTTTTCAAAAATGTACAGAAAACAAACAGTGTTGTAAGTCACGCCAAATCTTTTACAATTATAGCTAGATTTGACGGAAAATAGACAAACATCCGATGCAGCGGTGAACAGCTGAGAGAGGACTTTTGCTACAGCTGTGCGAGGGATGTACCGTAAAATTTTTGGGCGTGTTAACTAGCCAAGGAAAAGCGAGAAAAGTACGAATAATTGTACCGAAATGAGTGGGAAATAGTGCAGAAACTAACCCAGTAAAAATGGTGAGGAGCACAATTGTGGCATCCTACTCCCTGACATCGGGAGCCGGTGTGGGGCGTCTGGCCATAACCAAAAAACTGGTGCTCTGGTCGGTACTCGTGCTCCAGGTGGGCTTCATAGGTTGCATCTGGCTGCTACAAATGAGCCGTGGACAAGATTCACTGCAGCGGAGTGCCCTCGAGATTGGAGCCCGGGTACACTTTGTAACAAGCAGCGAAGCAACGAAGACCTCATCAGAAAAGATACCCCGTGTGAGAGGAACCCATTGTCCCCGGCAGCAGGACAATGTCAACCGTTATGACAGGGACTTTTACCAAATGAAAACGGAGAGGCTGAATGAATCCCACCTCCCTGACTACAACGTACCCGCCTATGTAGACGCCGAGATGGGTCTAACACCCGCCCTTTGGTGCTATCGCGAGGGCACCACCAACGAGAGCCTGCGGATTAACGATGTTGATTATCTGATGGCGCCGCCGCAGTGTAAATGCGAAAGTGGCTGGCACGGAAAGGATTGCGGCCAGCCGGAGATCATATGGCGAGCACTAATGACATCCAGTCGGCCCAGCAAACGAGGCGGCAGCACACCCCTTCAGCTGGTTGAGGCCAGCTCCACTTCTCTGCACCGCCTCTTCTACATGTTGGAACTGGGAGCCTGGGACCATCTGAGTCTAGAGCTATTGGAGTTGCAAATTCGAGCCCTCATCGAGGTGGTGGACTATTTCCTCATATACTACGTAAGCAATGGAAACAAGGAACGAAGTCTAGAGAGCATGTTGGGCAGTCGAACTAGTTACACGCTACTTCGATGTTCTTCCGAGTCTAACTGCAGCAGTTCAATGGCCTACAGCCACTTCAGGCGACAGCTATGGCAGCAATGTGGAGTCCAAATGCAAGCTCAGGATCTACTTCTTCACGGAGACAGTGGAACCGTATATTCCCCTGCAGCACTAAAGTTTCTAAAGTACTATGCCAAGGATGTGCTACCGCTAAAATTTCGGCTAAAGTACAATGTGTACGGATTTTACTGGCAGCACCCGAAGAAAACCCTGCTGAACGGGGTTATAAGTTCCTTGGGGCACCTGCACAATGCCCAACTGGATGCCCACCGACTGCACAGAATGGCGAGCAGCACATTGGGTGATCTTAACCACTATGGTGGGTGGAACTGTGAACTATGCCTGCCCCCTGAGCAGATAGTGCTTCTTCTACAAAGCTCCACCTTCAAGAAGCTACCTGTAAAGCTACCCAACGATACCCGGAATGCGCACATCGACGCCAACTACATGCAACAACTAATAGCCAACGGAGTTCACATCGATGGCACCACACAGCTACTTCGGCTGCGAGAGCAGAGTGAGAAATATTTCGCTCCGGAAGAGGCACTCCTGCATAGCAGCCAGTACGGACAGTTGTTGGTAAATCTGTATGATGTAGACATTCTAGAGGATCTGCAAGAAGAAGACTAACTACGCCTGCCAGAGTCTGACTTGGGCAGAGCAACCTAACGAACCAGCATAGACCTACGAATATATATATTTATATGTGCCTGCTTTCAAATCCCCATCAAAGTCTAACAATCTCATAATCATCATATCATACTCTGCCTAATCCATTCATACGCATGCCCTTCTGTGTTTTTTGGTCAAGCGAATTCCAAATTTAGTATCTTAACAGACAGGACAGACAGACCCGCCATCTGTGATAAGAAAAAACAGAACTAAACAATGAATTTATGAGAGGAAACCGAAATAAACAACATAGAAAGATCTCAATGAGCTGAAAAAAGTTGTGAAATGGGTTGAAAGGTATTTAGCATTATTTTTAAGATATATTTATGTAAACACCATGATCTGTATGAGAAAGCTTTTTAGGTTTACTTTAAATATTGATAACAAATTATCAAAAGACAATTTAAACGAACTTGAATTTGGTTAAAATTTTGAATCGTTATTTGTGTTATTAATTTATTATTCTAGTACCATAATTATAATTATAAGAAAATTTGTTAACTTGACAGATAAATTCAGTATTTAAAAAATAAAATTTAATATAAAAAAAATCAAAAAATCGCACTCACTTGTTGAACTTCCAAAACGCATTTATGACAACGGCTACACCCGATATGGTCGACCTTGAAATGGCGCCTACCCATTTTAATTAGCAGGTGCATCAATCAACCAATTCAATCTGCAAGCTTGGAATCCGTGAATATCTTGGGGATCACTCGATCATGATGCAGATCTCAATTACGCCGACAAAAGTACACGCAAGTACTCATCCTTGATAACAACAAACACAACTGTTTGGCTGGCAATGTGGCCGTGCCATAACTATTTAAGTATCACATATTGTCAGACAAATTAAATAAAATGAATTAAACTTTAGAAAATCGCTTTTAAATTAATTACCAAAAATTTAAAATTTAGTTTAAAGATCCAAACTAACAGTTTAGGTTTCGAATACCTAATTTTCAGATAGTAACATTGAAATTTAAGCACTCATCTATATACAAATTCTTAGCTTTATTTAATATCAATGATTACAGCACTTGGACCAACTCCATTTTTAGACATATAAGTAAAGATCTTTACAAGAAAATAAAAATAATGTAAGGAGAAATACTTGTTCTTTTCGAGCTTCCTTGGTTGAGTTTAGTTCGCTTATATTGCCTTAAGATGGCTATCTATCCCTGAAGAAAGGGAAGACCTTCTGCAGCTCAGCCTTGGACTTGCAGGCCTCCACTTGTGGCAGAGTTTCAACGAGATTAAGTAGGTATATCTGAAGCTGTTGACGCCGTTCCTCCACGAAGACTAAATTCATATTGCCAAAATGCTTTTTTGGTGGAAACTCCACTGCGCTGACCACCGGATGGGTCTTTAGCAGTGTCTTGTGTAGCTTGTTGAACTCGCTGTAACGTCTGAAAAACGTCCAGTGCTCCAAACGCTGTCTCATCGTGATGTGAACTTCGTAGGTATAGTGGGAACCGGAGCGCTGAGTCTTTACCAGCTTTACTTGTGGAATGGTTATCAGAAAGTTTGAGCAGAGTGATGAACTGGGATCAACGCCGGTCTCCTCAAATTGTTTTGTTAGTCTTCGGATGAGCTGGCGGTTCTGTAGACTTAACTCTGCCACTCGAGTTTCTAAAAGAGCGCATCTTTCGTTTAACTGGTTGACCTGCTCCTCAAGCGCCGCTTGTTGGTTGTTAGTTGCGCAATTCGCAGAGGAAGAGGACTTGCTCCACTGCGAGGACGAATCGCTGCGGTCTTCGTAGAATTCTGCCTCTGCAACAGGCTGTGACAAAATCTCTGGCAAGGGTGTCTTGAGGAACTCGAGCTCAGGTTCAATTGGATCGAAAGGTCCCAAATAAACTTCATCTACATGTTTTGACAACTCCTCTTCGATGGCTTTTTTGGACAGTAATTGTTGCACCTCCACCGACTCGATGGGTTTCAGAGCACCCAGCAAATCCTCTACGGAGGTGGAACCCTCAATGGGTCGCTCCACAGCATTGAAAGTTTGCCTTGCTGTGAGTCCCACAACCGGCACTGGACTGGGGGCGTATATAATTGGTTCCACTTTTACAGGGGCAGGCGATCTCCTTGGCGCATTTAGCTCTGGAGTGTCCACATTAAGAGCAAACAGAACATTTTTGAGGGAGTCTATGATCTCTGGTAGCTTTTTGGTCGCCTCTTCGTTGAGCAGCAGCGACCAGGGTGTGTAAAAGCAATGTAGCTGCTTCTCATCGCTCAACCAGGTAAGCATATAGGTATGCAGGCGCTTTTCATTAAGCGAAGAACGTAAAAAAGCACGGCCTTTGCCCGTATTTGTCCAGATGTTCTTGAGGTCCACGTACCGCTGGCGTTCATGGGGCGTCAAATGCGTCTGGCAAAATTCCCAGAATGTGGCGTCATTATTGTTGCTGCTCCCGCCTGCATTTCCGGACACCATCTCCTGCATATTTTGGATAAAACTGGCGGCGCTGAAGGAAGAGGCACCAGCCGTTTGCTTCAGTCCATAGGACATCAGCTCTTCGAGAGAATCGCACAGTTCCTGGACACATTCATCGCACTCCGTGGCCAGTTGTTTTCCATTATACTTTAGCGAGACCTGATGCGCACTTTCCTGGAGACGACGAAAGATATCCTCGCGCCGTTGGCCAAAGGTACTGCCCGCCAGTTGGCTGCGCATGCTCCGGAAGCCAGCCTCTGTGGGCATGGATCTGGACGCGTTTTCTGGCATTCTTTGTGGCTAATACTCAACTAATCTATTGTTTTCTACTCATTTTTGTCAACAAGCTGTTTGACAACACTGGTCAACTCACAACAAAACCAGCTAACAGTGTTGTAAAACTTGTGGGCTCGTTCATCACTTTGATAAATAAAGTGATTATAATCCTGACTACCTATGGTTGTTTTTATCTGAACTATACATTTTATTGTAGTATTAACTGAAAACAAATTTAAATTATAAACCAAATTTTCTGAATTCTTTAAATGCTTAGAATTGTTAGAATATAGCGCTGGTCACCTTTTATGACAAATTTTGTAATTCCAGTAATAATAAATTGGTAGTCACTCTTTGATCCTGCGTTCTGAACGCAAATAATTTTCCATCCCTGGTGATTTAGCGGGCAAAAGAATGCCAAAATGCTTATGTACGACTCTGCAGCCCTGGCACATAATTGCCATCCCTGCACGGCGCAAATGCAAAAGAAGTTAGCTCACAAATATTGTTAAAAAACCTTGTTAAATTCATTGGAAAATAAAAAAAATGGCCAACCAACAGTGCTAGAAGCAACAGAAATTAAAGCCGAATGCGTTTAACTCGCAAGAAGTGTAAGTGTGCAACAAGGGCCAGCAACATCGTGCCTTTTCTTTTGTGTTCGCGTTCGTTGTCTGCGCAAACGCTTGATTGACTTTTCGAGCGAGTGATGTGTTTCGCACGGAAAATGTGGTCAAAATTAAGATAAATCATATTTATTCAGGTATTATTTATTGGCCAATTAAGTGGAATTCGCATGGCAGCATGTTCAAAACTTTGTCTCGGAATCGAGCCATTGGCGGAAGTCTTTAATCACATTTCCTTGCCCTTTCCACTCTGCACAGCAGCTGCCTGCAAAAAAAGTAAGAAAAAAAGGAGGCAAACAAAACGGACAACGAGGAACGCTGGGATTCGGTCAGGAGTAAGGGTCCATATGGCCGTGAATTTTGGCGAAAGCTTATTGTAGCCGAACACCGGCAGTATTTAAAGTTTGTTCGCCAAAAGACGAGTCGCCTATAAGTCAAATTTCCAATTCTTACTCCTTTAAATAGTCTTATAGCTTACCACAAGAAATGTGAAAGAAATTCCAACTGGTTGCTGAACTTCAATTTGTAATTATTTTTTTGGTTTAATAATTTGCACAGATGTTTCCTGCACTTAGTCCTGCAGATGTTATTCAAATTATATATTTCATTTCAGTCAATGTGAGTGCAAGGAAGGTGACTTAAAAAGCAATACTTTTTGAAGACAATCGAGGAGGTAGATTTATAAATGTTTTTACCACACTGACAAATCCCGCATCGAAAGCATTATCGATCAGAATGAATCCGGCAGAGCTGCGATCGATGATGTGGATGAGTAGTCAGTACAACACGGAGCGCATAACACTGGAGGATGCGGCCACTCTTCTGGGTCATCCCAATGTTGGACTATCTGTCATGGAGGACCTCTCCGCCCATCAGCCAACTTTGGTGAGTGCAGACGGTTTGATTCAAAAGCCAATCTCTCAATTCGAAGACTAATAAATATAATATGTTATTAAATGATTGCCGGACAAAGAAAACTGTTGGTCTAAATGTGACCTTTTCGTTATATTTGATAGTCCTCGGAGTAGCAAACAAACCCAAATTCCTTAAGTTTCAACATGTACTCTTGGGGATTGGCCAAAATATTCCAAACTATCTTTTTTGTCTGTCTCAGTTGAAAAATTGGAATTCGTTTACTTATTTCTTCTACTTTCTTTTCTATGATTTATGTATTGGTTACAATTTTAAACTCGACACAAAAACACACAATACCAATGAACGAACCTCCACCTGAACAACCTCCAAACCCACTTTGCTCAACAAAAGGACATGAATCCGATGATGAGCCTCATGGGGGGAGATTTCTCTGGTCAGGCAGCAGCGGCTGCGGCTGCGGCGTTGGGTGTTCAACCGGGCACTCTGATTGCCACCAACTCCAACAACCTCTACGGATTCACCCACATGGGCGGCCTGCAGCAGCAACTGCTTCAGCAGTCGGCGGCCGCTGCGGTCTTTCAGAATTATGCGGAGGTTATGGATGCCGATGTGGACACCGGTATGGTGGGTATGGCTCCCCACGACGGAACTCTGATGGGCGTTGGTGTGGGCGAGGCGGTTGTGGATGACGACGACCATGTGTACGGCCAAATAGACGATGGTTACGACGATGGTGGATCGGGGTTAGAGCCCAAACAGGAAATAATCAACATCGACGACTTTGTAATGATGAATGAGGACAACAATTCTTACGATGGAACCGACTTTATGACTTCCTCGGACAAGGATATTTCGCAGTCCTCTTCCTCCTGCATGACTCAGTTGCCTGGAGGATTAGGCGTCTCAGGAGTTGAACATGATCTACTGGTACCATTGGGCGACGGCTTGCTCCATCACAAGCTGCTAGGCACAACTTTAGCCCCGGCGATGGGCTCACTCAATGGGAATGCCTTTGGAAATATTATGGTTAGCTCTGAAGCACCATGTGTGAGCTCCAGTAAGCAAATGCAGCGCACTTATAGCATTGCCAAGGGAGCCAGCTCCACCACAACCACCGCCAGCTGCAGTGCCTCAACCTCATCCGCATTGCGCACACAGCGCAAGACGCGCAAGATCGAACCCGTGAACAGGCCGGGACTGGTGCTGAAGACACCTATCGCCTACAAGGGCAACATTGACCCATCAGTGATCCCCATACAGAAAGACGGCATGGGTAAGGTTGCTCTGCGATAGGGTGGGTCGATTTTACATGAGGCGATTTCGGGTGCGGATTTTTATAGTCATAATAAAGTCATTGTTAATACCTTATATAATTTAAACTTTAAAAAAACTGCGCCCGCAACTCTTTTATAAAACAATCGACTCACTCTACACCATTTTTATTTCAAAGCTTATTATTATTGATTTACTCCTAGTTATAATTTTAGTTATTTTTTATTTTTGGTTTGAGTTTGTGTTGCTAGAATTTGGGTTTGTATGGCAGGGTAGCAGTAAAATGAAGTAAAATATTTATTAAATAACTTTCAAATATATATTTTTACAATTCGTTTAATTTTCTCCGCAGCTGTCTGTAAACGTTGTGGAGCCATTGGAGTAAAACATACCTTCTACACGAAATCGCGACGTTTTTGTAGCATGGCCTGTGCCCGAGGCGAACTCTATTCGTTGGTACTCAACAGCAAGATGGAGGGAGGTCAGGCTAGCACCAGTTCCCCAGCTCCTGGAGCTGGTTCAGAGGTGTCCGAAGATGTCTTGGCTGGTGAACAGCAGCAGTCCCAGTCGGATATTGAGCTTGATCTGCAGGCGGCACACATTAAGAATGCAAACTACCGTTTCCGTATTACGGATCAATCGAAGATCACCCAGTTAAATAGCTTTGGCGAACCAATGTCCCTCGGTGGCGACGCAGCTGCCCATAATGTACAAATGGCAGCGGATGAAACGATTGCAGCCTTGAATGGCGGAGCAGTCGGAGATGCTACTGCTCCGGGAGGCAATGATGAAGGTGCAGTCACACCCAACTCTTATTTAAGTGCAGCTCCAACGCCTAAAGCACTGCGGCTCTTTAAGGATGTCTACCCACAGGATGACCTGCCGCAAATACCTAAGTATGAGCGTCTACCTGTTCCCTGTCCGCAAATGGAGAAAATCATCAGCATACGGCGAAGGATGTACGATCCGACACACTCGTACGATTGGTTGCCCCGCCTTAGTAAGGAGAACTTTATCGCGGCTCCTGTCACCTGTTTTCCACATGCCCCCGGATGCGAGGTATGGGACAATCTGGGCGTGGGAATGAAGGTAGAAGTGGAGAATACAGATTGCGATAGTATCGAAGTTATCCAACCGGGCCAGACTCCTACCTCTTTCTGGGTGGCCACCATCCTGGAAATCAAGGGCTATAAGGCCTTGATGAGCTACGAGGGCTTCGATACGGACTCGCACGACTTCTGGGTGAACCTTTGCAACGCCGAGGTACACTCGGTGGGCTGGTGCGCCACCCGGGGCAAGCCCCTTATCCCGCCCCGCACCATCGAGCACAAGTACAAGGACTGGAAGGACTTCCTCGTTGGGCGCTTATCCGGTGCCCGCACTCTTCCCTCCAACTTCTACAACAAAATTAACGATAGCCTTCAGTCGCGCTTCCGCCTTGGCCTGAATCTCGAGTGCGTCGACAAGGATCGCATTTCACAGGTACGCCTGGCCACCGTCACTAAGATCGTGGGAAAACGTCTCTTCCTGCGATACTTTGATTCCGACGATGGCTTTTGGTGTCACGAGGATTCTCCTATCATTCACCCAGTGGGTTGGGCAACAACAGTGGGGCATAATCTAGCCGCACCACAGGACTATTTAGAGCGCATGTTGGGTAAGTTAATATTTCTTCTTTTAAAAGATGTTCCTATTAACACTTTGATTTTTTTCAGCTGGTCGTGAAGCCATGATAGAGGTTCATGAGGATGACGCAACAATTGAGCTGTTCAAGATGAACTTCACCTTCGACGAGTACTACAGTGATGGCAAGACCAATAGCTTTGTGGAGGGCATGAAACTGGAAGCGGTGGATCCTCTTAATCTGTCATCCATATGCCCGGCCACAGTAATGGCGGTTCTCAAGTTTGGTTACATGATGATACGCATTGATTCTTATCAGCCGGATGCCTCAGGGTCGGATTGGTGAGCTTTTAAAGCTATTGGTAAATCCAACGAAGAAATTAACAATTATCTTAATTTTTCAGGTTCTGTTACCATGAGAAGAGTCCATGTATCTTTCCGGCTGGATTCTGCTCTGCCAACAGCATTTCGGTGACTCCTCCAAACGGATATGACTCTCGTACGTTCACCTGGGAGGGATATCTGCGAGACACGGGAGCAATAGCCGCCAACCAGCATCTATTTCACCGAGTTGTGCCTGACCATGGATTCGAGATGGGCATGAGTCTGGAATGTGCAGATCTCATGGATCCCCGTCTTGTCTGCGTGGCCACAGTGGCGCGGGTGGTGGGTCGACTACTTAAAGTTCACTTTGATGGATGGACAGATGAATACGACCAGTGGTTGGATTGTGAATCGGCAGATATATATCCAGTCGGTTGGTGTGTATTGGTAAATCACAAGCTAGAGGGACCACCAAGAGTTGCACAGCAGCAGGCACCAAAGCCTGCACCAAAGGCCAAGATACAAAGGAAACGGAAGCCCAAAAAGGGAGCTGTTGGAGGCAAGACGCCAAATGAGAACAACACCCAGTCGGGTAGGTTTTATTCTTGAAGGTGGCATTGAACCTTATTATTACTGTATTTATCTGCTTTTTTATTCTAGTCAAATCCCGTACAATTGCTCTTAAGACTACGCCGCATTTGCCCAAATTGAGCATAAAACTAGAACTAAAGCCCGAGCATCACAATGCTGCCTTTTATGAGAATAATCAACCCGAGGAAGAGGGCGATGAGGAGGATCCTGACGGGGATGGCGATGTCGATGGAGACGGAAGTACCAGTCACATCTCCGAACAGTCAACTACACAGTCATCTAGTGATCAGATCGCGGGATCAGGCAGTGGAAGTGGATCCGCCTCGCTGGTAACTCTCGCCACGGGCAGCAACAAAATGGTAATGAAATCTTCCACTACTAAATCACCTGCGCCACCAACTGTGGGCCGCAAAGCCACTAGCTACATTGCGGTGAGTACTTAGCGGAATAATAGTGCGTAGAGTCATCCATCTAGCCAGACAGATCGCCTGCTCGCCTGCCTGCCAACTTGCCCGCCTGAAGCCCAGCTCATGCATCAAAACGAAAGGACCTCAAGGCACAGTGGTTTTAAAGTTCACAAGTAATTCTTAACTTGGTTATTTAACCACCGTGCCGAGGGTCCGTTACACAATTGCATAAATGTATATAACCAAAATCGTTCATAAAAACGCCAATTTGTATATAATTTGTTTACGCACTGTTATTTTTGGTACTTGCAACCACAACAACCCAACCACATCCAACTGTCTCCTCATCCGTCCTTAACCTTTAACCTTTCATACCTTTTAAGACGTTTTTACTAATAATGATTGATTGTAATTCGTCCAACTGTAGAACTCCTCTGCGACGAACAATAAGTACATTCCGCGTCTGGCCGACATCGATTCCAGTGAGGCGCACTTGGAGCTGGTGCCGGATTCCTGGAATGTGTACGATGTGTCCCAATTTCTTCGGGTCAACGACTGCACAGCCCATTGCGATACCTTCAGCCGGAACAAGATTGATGGCAAGCGACTGATGCAACTAACCAAGGACGACATAATGCCATTGTTGGGGATGAAGGTGGGACCGGCGCTGAAAATCTCAGACCTCATTGCCCAGCTTAAGTGCAAGGTTAATCCGGGCAGGGCCAGATCCCACAAGACCAACAAATCTCCGTTTTTATAGTGCGCGGACCTTAATTTTTATAATGCGAAACGAAAGTTATCACCGATAAAAACACACTTTTATACGTGTATATTAGTGCTTATGAATATAGGATATATATAACGAATATATATATAAATATTGAAGTATTTTGTTAGCACTGAAAATCGAAACACAAACGTTGCCTAGAATGGATCAAGCATCCATGATACAATTGTATAACTAACTCAAGTCTCACAGCGCGTTATTTTATACCGATAATATATATATCGTAGATCATAGCCGTACGCTCATGTTATATCAGTCAGAGTTCTATATCATACAACTGTATAGTGATCATTGAATTGGGGACAATTAAATTTTTTTATTTACGCATATTTTTGTAAAAGTAAAAGCAATGCATGCAACACATATATTTACATATATATATGAGGATTGTATAGCATGGAATTGTAAATTGTACATAAGTTTCGTCGCCGACCATAGAAGACCCAAGAATATCGTATTTTTTATAGAACCAAGCGCAAGCAAGCAACAGGCAGCATGCCTAGGATACCCGTTCAGTCGTAAACCGAGTAGTTGGAATCACTCCTAGTCCTTAAGACAGCGCGGTCTCTCGCTTAAGTTCTTTCTGGAATCACTTACAACTCGGCAAGGAGAGCATTATTGGCATAGGGAATACTTTTGAAGGCAACCTTAATTATAGAATATGTATCTAGATAACCTTAAGGTACCAGCTAATGTCAAAATACATTAATAAAACCGAATTCAAAATTGCAAGTAATGAAATAAAGCGTTAACTTAATTGGTACTGGGCTTATGTGGCGATAATGATGAAATACAACAAAAAAAAAAAAACAACTTTACCCCAAAAATACTTTTAACCCAATAATAATAATATTCAAAAATTCTCGAAATGCATTTCATCGTTTTTTAAGATTGGTTTATATTCTGAATATTAATACACTTTTATGACATATAGACTAACTTCTTACTGCTAAGTTTACACTGCGTTTGGTGGCTATATATTTATGCTAGTTTTTGATTAAACATTTTAAACACGCACACCAAATGTCAAACTTGTATTTTATATTCTTAAAATCAAATCTGATGTGTGTGCGAGTGTAATAATGTTGGAAAATAGTTGCCATAACCGATAGAATTAGGAAAAGAATGGGATAACACAAAAAGTAGAAAAAGGATCATGTACAATACAAATTAAGGGCGAGTGCTTATATACAGAGTGTTTGTGTCTAGTTCTCAACTAAATTATAAGTGTTGTTTTTTCTTGTTGTAGTTGCATAGTTATTAATTTTATACGCTTAAATCTAGATTTAAAGTTGAGGCGCTACTTCTCTTTGAATACAAAGAAACCCTGCTCTTTAGAGGATTTTTCAACTTTCCGCTTATCTCTTTTTCGTTTATCTAAAAAGGCCTCAATAACAACTTAATATAATAAAATACTAACATTTACAGCGTTTCGTTTTGAAGAGATAATAAATAAACTAAGAGCTTTTAAAAAAAATATCAAAACGGAAGGGGCGTAGGGGCTAAGGTGTAAAGCAACGAGGGTCAGATGTCTAAAGCCTCGAATTGAGTAATCTAGTGGTCCTAGTTCCGGTTTCGTTTCTTCGGAAATTCCATGAAACCGATATTGAAAAATACTTCAATTCGGATTTCACTATACTTCTTGGGAATGAAATTGGTAACATGGCCTTCTGCTTCGATTTCGGAGCTTCTCTGGACATTGTTTCTGTTGTTTACAAGATGGTTTAAATTGCATTTAAAATAAATACACTACACTATTAGCAGGGCTAAAATTACGTTTACACAGTTGCTAACTGCCCTGGAGGCGGACTCTCCTCTGATCTTTCTATTTGGGTTTGCTGGTCATTTTCTTCGCTAGGTCGTCTCTTCTTCAGGGGCGGAATTTCCATCTGAACAGTGGGTGATGGGATGGCTGTTGCCTGGTTTTCTAGAATGCAAGCGGGTCTTTTCTGGCCGGGACTGCTGTTGGAGACAGGTTCGTCGCCTCCATTAACAATCTCGGTGACTATGTGAGCCTCCAGCGATGGCGGGAGCAATGGGGACAACGGAACAGCGTTCAGATCACAAGCGTCCTCATCGTCATCCTCATAGTTTTGCGGTACATTGCCAAAAAGATCACCGTGCCTATTGTCGCCTCTTTCTTCCTCCTCATCTTCATCATCGCTGTAATCGTTGTCCCAGAAAACCTGAGCTCCTGGGAACACATACGAATAGTTGTTGGTGTGGGAATAAAATGTTCCAGGTTGCAGTCGCTCAGCGGCCGTTTGTCGCTTGCCCCTTTGTTGTGGAATGGGCGTCAAGCTGGGCGCCACTGTCTTGGTCTCCTGAACAAGATTGCTGGGACGCACATAGCTGGGAGTGGCTTCGTTGTCGCACTGTTCGATGCCGCTGTCCTTAGAGGAATCGATGGAAAGGTGGCGATAGCTTTCAACCGTTGTTGGTGGGACTCCGCCAGCCAACCGATCACAGCTGAGGGCGGTGGTCTCATTTAGCTCCACAAGTATGTCTGTTTTAATGCGTTCAATAGCAGCCGCCTCAGCGGCAGTGGAACGCTTGCTACTCGTAAAAGTGGAGGATTCAAAACCGCTATCCGAGCAGGTGCCAGCTGAACCCAGAATGTAGTCCGCCGAACTATTGGACTTAAGAGATTGTGTATCCGTATCTAGTTGCGATTGCCGCTCGCTCTCAGAACTGCAGTGGCGGTGGTGGTGTAGGTGGTGGCTGACATGATGATGGTGGTGATGATGATAGTTCTGTGGAGGCATTAGCTCCTTGCTTTCGTTAAGCACCGACTCATCGCAGCACAGCTGCCGCCAGCAGTCGTCGTTGCCTGAAAGCCTGTGACAAATCTGGTTGATGATCACATCGGAGTCGCCCAGCAGCTCCACATCAAACTTCAAGTGATGCAGCTGCTCTCGATTGATGAGAATCTGTGGCACTGTTGCCGGGATGCTGCTGGGAATGTGGGCCACGGGTCGCACTTTCAGGGAGGATCCGATCACGATCAGGAGATCGCAAACGTCCTTGTCGGTGGCCATGACCGTGTGGTACTCATCCGGAAGACCTGTTGGCAATAGGAAAAGCAAACACAGGGCACGCCAATTAGAAAATTGTTAATGCTACAATAATACGCTTTCTGATCATTAACTTAATTCTAGCTTTTATTAAAGTTGTAAGGTATAAGAAACAATTATTTAAACGACACCTACCCTCTCCAAAAAAGACGATGTCCGGCTTCATGATGCCGTTCTCAACCAGCTGACGCAGTTCCTCTTCAGTAACGGCTACCGATGCGTCCACACTCTGCTCCTTGTTGGGCTGGCACTGTGGGCACACCGGAATCCGCTGTGCAAAGATATCCGCTCGCAGAGCGTCGGCGTTGCATTTGAACCTGCACTTGGTGCACGAGGCCGTTGAGAAGGAGCCATGACACTCGATCACCCTTTGGATTCCCGCCACTCGCTCGAGAGTGTCGATGTTTTGTGTGTAGTTGCGCAACAGTTTGCCCTTGGTCTCCAGCATCTTGATGAAACGATGGCAAGGCGACGGCTGGAATTCGCCAGGATATATTTCGCGGGCGAACTTGTAGAACGGTCGCGGATCCCGCTTGAAATAGTTGATATCAAACATGGCCTGCGGATCAGGTAGATCGGGGAAGTCATGGGCCAGCCGCGCATATATGCCATTGGTTGAACGAAAATCTGGTATGCCGCAGGAAACAGAAACCCCAGCTCCAGTGAGCACAATGATCTTCTGTGATTTCTTTACCAGATTGATGACATCATCAAAGGTGTTCACCGATGACAGCTTGTTGCGCCGCTTGGGCTCGTTCAACAGGTGGGCTAGGTAATCCCACAGCACAGAGTCATCGGTGTCAGCCGCTAGTCCAGTGGCAAAGTGCGGCATAATGCTGGCAATTACCTGGCGAGGCACACGGCCTGTGTAAAATTCTCTTTGTAGCCAACGCAACTTGCAATCGGGACCAACGGAGGATGAGGAGCAATCGGAACTGGAGTCCTCATCCTCGTTGCTAGTTCCGGTGACCTCTTCCTCATCGTCATCCTCCTCCTCCTCGTCGTCTTCCTCTTCCTCGTCCTCCTCTTCATCCTCGCCCAATGGCTTTAGGGGCTTTTTGGTTTCTTGCTCCAAATTGGCGCCATTTTCTTGTTCTTCCCTGGCTGCCAATGTTATTGTTTTGATTTCACCATTTGCTTTGCCAGCAAGTTCGCTGGTTGCTGTTGTTGCCTCTGCCTCTGCCGCCGATTCTGCTTCCGTAGACGTTGGGGCCAGAATTTCGGCGCCAAAATCAAACTTGGCCGGTGGATAGAACTGTGAAGCGTCAGGAACCTGGTCGCCCAGATCCTTGGCCTTAATATGGCCCAGGCGAATTTCCTCGTAATTTTCCATCATTTTCCCCAACACACACACGCGCGCACACACAGACTTACAGAGAGAAAACTCTCGTCGTTGGTGGTGCTGCTGCTGCTTCTTCTTGCTGCGCGAGTGTTTCCTCGGTCTCTCCGCTTTGCGCTCTCGCCTTGTCCGTTTTCTCCGCTCTTTCGTTGGTACACACAAAAATTTTTACGTCGTCAGCTTCGCACCCATTTGGCTTGATTGAAAAAATTCTCCAGCGATCGTTTGGCGGCGATTTTTTTAGCCAACTTGACTTTATTTTACGTATTTTCACAAAATTTAAATTTTAAAAAAAATTCCGATCCATTTGAGTGCGATTTTTTCGTAATTTTCGAGCGTAATTTCTGGAAAATTTTCCGATGAAAAAGCAAGATGGCACGTAGCTGCGCCTGTATGTGTATGTGCGCTTGTGGAAGTAAATCGGGTGGGACCCTGACTCGTCGTGCCAAAGGTACTAACGCGTTTTCGTATGGAAAGTGCCGCCCTCATGACTCATTTCAGTATATTTATAGTATTTTATGCGTTTTCACGTTGCCATTACGTGATTATACAGTAAGCACTGTAAATGATGAAATACATTTCGTTATCTTGTGAAAAAAGATATTAAATATATAAGCACTACAAAATATTAAGCCCCTAAAAACCTCAACATCTTTTTTAATTAAAAATAAACTTATTATTTGAACATAAAATTGGTTTGCTATTATATTTATTCTCTGTTTTCAGTTATAAATTGTCATAGTTTTAAAGCTGGAAAACTTTGAAAATAGTTGAATTAATTTAAAATTAAATCTTTTTAATACATACCCAAAATAAAAACAGTTAAATGGCAAAACAATCTCGTTCAAAAGAAGAAGACCAATATTCAAGAACATTCTTTCAACCCCAGAGATTACTGTTTCCAAAATATACGAGTTTTTAGGCGTTATTTTTTGGTACTTTCCCCATAATTTACGTGTTGTTGCTTTACTTGGTCACACTCGCTAACCAATATGACTTGAAAATATTGTCATAGATACATTGTTAAATAAATAAATAACTTGTACTCTTACGATGTACAATTATTTTAGTTTGTAGGGGGGTTAGGCTGCATTAGGACATGGACAACTTAAATTTATATGAAGTTCTCGGAGTGGCTCCGGATGCAAGCGACGAGGAAATAAAGAAGGTAACTGGTTTAATTCGATTTGTTGGTAAATAATTTGTGTTGGCCTAAATCTAATAGAATTACCGAAAATTGGCCAAAGAATTCCATCCAGATAAGAATCCCGATGCAGGCGACAAATTCAAGGAAATATCCTTCGCTTACGAAGTACTGTCAGATCCCGAGAAGCGGCGTATCTACGACCGTTACGGACTAAAGGGCCTTCAGGAGGGCGCAGACGGATTCTCAGATGCTTCCGAGTTCTTTGCCCAGTGGTTTCCGTTCGAAAGAGTCTCAACCGGGGGAAGGGGCAGGCGAGAGGGCAAGGTCGTCATTAAGGTGGAGTTGACGCTGGAGGAGATCTACATCGGTGGAATGAAGAAGAAGCTAGAGTACAAGCGTCAGAAGTTGTGCTCCAAGTGCAATGGAGACGGGGGACCCAAGGAGGCTCGCGAAAGCTGTGAGGCATGCGGCGGAGCCGGCAGGGCCGCCGCCTTCACCTTCATGGGTCTCAGCCCCTTTGATGCGGTAACCACAAGTTTAAAAACAACTTATCAACTTCAATTTAATAAGTAAATGGATTTTCATTCAGACCTGTCCAGCTTGCGATGGTCGCGGTTTCACCATAAAGGAAGACAAGAAGTGCAGTCCTTGCCAGGGTAGCGGTTTCGTGGAGCAAAAAATGAAACGAGACCTGGTCGTCGAGCGGGGTGCACCGCACATGCTAAAGGTTCCCTTCACAAACGAGGGCCACCAGATGCGAGGCGGCGAGTACGGGGACCTGATTGTAATCATCGCCCAGAAGGAGCACACACTTTTTCAACGTCGCCATGCCAATTTGTACATGCAAGATTTAGAGATTAATATCACGGAGGCGTTGTGCGGCTACAAACATTGCTTTAAGCACCTAGATGGTCGTAATGTTTGCTTACGCACGAACCCGGGCGAAGTCTCTGCAGAACAACCAAATAAAAATGGTGCGGGGCAGCGGAATGCCTGTATTTAACAAGGCCACCGAAAGCGGAGATCTCTACATGAAGTTTAAGGTTAAGTTTCCCGACAACGACTTTGCCACAGCTCCGCAGCTGGCCATGCTAGAGGGCTTACTACCCCCTAGACCGCAGGTAGTGATTCCCAAAAACGCTGAGGAAGTGCAGATGACGGACTACAAGCCGCAGCCAAGGCAGCATGAAGAGGATGATGGACAGTCACCACATTTCGAGGGCGTGCAGTGCCAGACGGCTTAGTGCCTGTGGTTGTGGCTCCTTCAGGCGCGGTTTCTCTGCCTCGATCTGTGGCTGATCCTGGGCACATTCGGCGTAGATGAAGTCTGCTTCCTGGTGCCGCTGCTCGTCTTGATATGCATAGTATTATTTTTCATACAGGAATGTTTGCTGTGAAAAGCACGTGATCTAAATTCGTAGTACACATTATTATCTGAGACTCAAGCTTAGCTGATTTGATCTTCAATAGGAGTGTCATTAAAACACATTAGCCACGCAAAATTAATTGTATGCTAACACTATTAACTACATATTTATTATTTTTTTTAGCTGAACTTTCCCCCTAATAACAATAAACAATTACATATATCACTGTATAAGGGATAAATCTTCTCGTGTTAGGATTAAACTAAAACCTGTTTTCCTTTGTTAAATTGTTTAAAAAACAAAATGTTACACTTAAGAATTTGTTAGATGCCTTTATTGACTACATACGCAATTTAAAATTGTTGTTCATTTGAACTTATTGGTTTTAATTTATGTAAATTAATTGAATCTGACAATGGCATAAAATAGTTAAAATGAGTGCACGATTATCGCGACCCTAATCGCTTTCCGTAGACTCTGGAGATTCGTCACCGCTTGTCGTTTCCTCTGAATGATCATCATCCGGCTTCGTCAAATCCAGAGGCGACTCCTTAGACATTACTTGAGAATCCAAGGTAATACATTTTTTTGAATTTCTGAGCCAATGAGTGCCATTGGCTGCTTGAGACGGGTTTTCCTTGTGGGAATCACTAAGATTAATATATGCTTCTTTGTCCATGCTGCGTCTACCCACCAATCCGTCCTTGGGCTTGCTTAAATCTAAAGCCGAGGACGAAGAAGCACTATCTAACATTTCAATGGGCACTAGATCGGCTGTAACTTTCTCCTCTGCGTCTATGGAATGGTGCTCCGCCAGCTTCTGTGGTGGCATCGCAATCATTTCACCAGTACGCATGCTTTTGGTATCAGCTACCTGATCCGCAGACACCTTCATCAAAGTTAGATACTGATTGTATTTCGCATAATTGCGCCTCCCAGTTTCATCGTTCATTAGCACCTGGGCCTGATTATGGGACCTATCTCGGATAGCCTTCAAGCGGATGTGTTTGGTGATATCCCAGCGCCAGTTGGAACGATATGCGCACAGAGAGCATTCAAAGGGCTTTCTGTTCAGATGGCCCACGATGTGGACATGGAAGCGCGAGGCAGTGGCTGCCCAAAATGTGCAATGGGGGCACTTAAAAACCTTTTTTAACGGCGCTAAATCATCGGTTTCATCGGGCAAAACCTCAGTGACCTGGATAAAGGATTAGAAAAGGTATTTATAATTATTTGAGAATAATGGGAAACTAAACTGAACTTACCTCCCCATAGCCAGGAGCTGTTTCCACACCGCAATAACTAAGATCAGTAGGAGCACTGGGCAAGTCATCCTCCTGAAGATCCTCCTCCCCGTTTAGAACTGCCTGCAATTGAGTCGTGTTGCGCAAAGCCGGGGCACAAACTTGGAGATGATTGATCAACTCTATGGCATTACCCATCCGCTTTTGGCAGTGGGAGCAAACGATCCCTGGAAGCTCCGTCAGCGTAGAGTCCGGTGCTGCAATGGGAGGAGAGACTTTGTTCGCATCTGGCTTCCTGGACCCACTTGCCTGTTGATCCATCTGATCGGCTGCCTCATCTCGGCGTTTAGTGCTCATTTGGAGACCTATAGTGGGCACATGATGGTTCAACTCATGTATAGTTAGGGACTGCTTGATATCAGTGCTAAAGTCACAGGCTGAGCATTTGAAATGTCCATGGGCACCATGGTTCTTGGTGTGGCGGTCCAGATTCCACTTGTAGGGTGTGTGGAAATCACAGGAGCTGCACTTAATCAGCGGCATTGAGTGGTACTTAACGTGCTTTTTGAATCTGGCCCGAATGGGGGTACTATACGAGCACTTCTGGCACTGGAACTGCTGCACTCCTGGCGGCAATTCCAAGGTATCCGGCGAGGGACTTTTTGATGGCTCCTCGGAATCGGAGCTGCTGTTATTCTGTTCCAATTTCTGGGGCTACTGTCTGTTTCGCCGGCATCAACTTGGTTTGGAACTCATAGGCCATGGAGAAGATGTTGTCGTGGCTATCTACGATCTGTTGGAGTTGTAGCATCTCTTGCTGTCTGTTGTAGGCGTGGACACTGGCCAGCAGCTGCTGCTCCTGCTGCTGCAGTTCGTTCTTCAGCTGGTCCAATGGCGGCCCATTCTGTAACATCCGCAGCAGGGTAGGATTAATGTTTGGACCAGCCGTAGCCTGCACTTCGATGCTTTCCTCTAGTCGGCGCTTGCGAACTTCTCTGGAAAGGTTACGCTTGCCTCGCATCTGGACACTGGATCCAGGCATTGCGCCACCATCATCGGAGCAGCCATGTACCATTTTCATGTGCCGCACAAGCTTTTGGAAATGCCGCGAGGCGTAGAGACACAGCTTGCACTCATTAATCACAATCCGCTCGCCATGGACGTCGCGAAGATGGGAGAGATGACTACGGGGATTTTGGGTGAAGAATGCACACTGGTTGCAGCTATAGTTGCGCCGTATTTTGCACTGAGGAAGCTCCTCCTCATTAAGGGAAGGTATATTTTCTGACAGTCCGTTTTCTACATTTTCCTTGGTGAAGTCTACAGGAGCAGTATTTCCCAAGGGAGCAGAACCAGGTAACGGTAGGGAATAAGTATTCATCCTGTATTGTTCCAGTTGGCGTTCTAGGGCATCCGCAGCCATTAAAGGCTGTATATCATGAATCATTTTGAGATCCATCCCCACTGCATTTTCCGTGGATGACTGATACAGCGGCGCACCATTTACCAAACTGCGCACCACCAATTGATCTCCTGAACGTTCCACCATGGATGGCAACTCCATGATTAGCTTAAACGCCAAAAATTTTCTTTGAATTTTTCTTTCACAGAATTTTTTTCTCGTTTCTCGTGCGATAGCTGCCGTAAGACTGAGCCATTTTTTCGGTGGTGTCAGGTTTGACTTTTTCCCTTTTTGCTAGGGCTACTATGTTCATTGGTTAACTGCCAAAAAATAGCTTAAGCTTCATGGTTACCAGGGCTATTTTGATTACTATTTTGACTTGGGCTCTGTTATAATTTATTATTATTTTAATTTTACTTATTGGTTTAGCAAGAAAAAAATACATTATAATAAAAATAATTTAGATTACGTGATTGTGGGCAGAAGATGCGGTTTCTTATCTTCTTGTTCCGGTTCAAAATTCAGTTCAGTTGGTTCAGTTTTCCATAAATGTTTTTTTCCCTCATTAATTTTCAGAAAAAAAAATCCATCCTACATTGTAGGTACTCGTTTTTAAAATTTACTAAATAAAAATTCTGAAAAAAATAAAAAACGTCTAATTTCTTTCTTATATTTCAATTTCATTATTTTAATATTAATATTTAAATATAAACAATTTTTCTATACATTTTTAAAAGCAGCTACGGCTGGCATCTCTACATCCTGTGCAATATGGAGTGGTAGCAAATCTATCCAAATTTTAGGATCCCCACCTATCTCGTGGATGGTAAAGTTGAATAGAGGCGGCAGCGGATAGCCATTGGGCATGCGCAGCTCCAGAGTGTTCATGACGCGCAGTTGGTCGTACGAACGGTGGCTACAAGCCTCCAAGGGGGAGATTCTGGCAGAGAATTCGTAAATAAGACATGAATTCAGTAGATCAGAAAAGTCCTGTGGTACGGCCACATTCAGTAGCTGATCCCAGCAAGGGCGATTGGTCATAAGACGCACGGATTCTCCACATTTCGTACGGATTTCAGGAGCTCGTTCCAAGCCATTGCTGCCCAGCATATTAATAATTAATTTAAGCTGCTTTCGATCGTGTTTTTGGCTCGCAAAGAGAGGTGATCCCTTGAGCAATTCAGCCAGGACGCAGCCAGCACTCCAGATGTCAATGGCACAGCTATAGTGCTCATATTTGGCAAAGAGTTCGGGAGCACGATATAATCTCGAACAAATGTAACTTAGGCTGGGCTCCTCGGGAACCATGAATTTGGCGCTGCCAAAGTCACTTATTTTAAGCACCATCTTCTGATGATCCATCAGCAGATTTTCGGGCTTTATGTCCCTGTGGCAAATGCCTAAGGAGTGAATATAACCTAATCCCCTAAAGATTTGAAACGAAAGGATACGGGCATAAATAAGAAGTTCTGGGTGACCTAACTGCGGTAGGTGATCCCTTATATAGTCCAAAAGGGTCATTGGCATCCACTCCATAACCAGCATGATGTAATTCATAGGGGGATCTCCCAGGGTCACTACGGAGTGCATGATGAGCCGTATAATGCAACTGTGCTCCACTAGCTGCTCCATTATCTCAGCTTCTCGCTGACAAAACTTTGGGATTGTAAAGGGTCTGCTTAACCGCCACCATCTCTTCGGAGTCATCCAATTGGGCCTTGTATACCTGACCAAAGGATCCACTCCCAATCAGTTCTTTAATCTCAATCTTCGCCGGATTAGGATCCGAACTACGGAGTCCAATGGCATAAGTTGAGACCACCGAGTCGTTGGGAATGATAAGAGGAACTTGTTCCTGTCGCTGCGATTGACGTTTCCGGGATTTCTGCCGGTTTTCTTTATTCTCTGACCAAAAAAGGGTTAAAGGAAAATAATGAATCCGAGATACAAAATTTCACCCAATCACACATTTCTCACCCATTTTTTATAGAATAAAACTACGTACACAAATATTCTGAATTATTTTTACAAAAACCAAATTATGACTTCAAAGGAATACGGGGAAAATATTGCACGTCAATATTCTTGTTTCAAGAAGGCATTGCCACCTGGTCGTGATTTAGAAAAAGTGTTGTAAAAAATGAGTTGAAAATTAGAAAAAACTGTAATGGTGGTAATCCTTCCGAAATATATGAATTTTTTAAAGAATGTGGAAGTTCAATTTTTAAATAACTTATATAGAAACAGCATAAATTAAATAACAATATTTTTTAATGTTTTATTTGAAATACAAAAAAAGTTTTTTAATGGAAGAATACAGAGTAATGTGTGCAAATAAATCAAATTAGCCAGAATTAAGTCTGTTGACAAAAATGTGTTTCTGTTTTATAATAAATGTTGATTGCAGGCTCGTTTGTAGCTCGTTGGAATTGCATTAAAATAAAACCGAAAGTGGAAAAAAAGGACTCAAATATTCGACACATTTGTTTCGATTTTGTTTTGCCAACGGAAATCCAAAAGTGGATTATGTTTATGGTGCAGCGACTTTAATGCGATAAAAAGTCGGTCGTCGGTTCGAGCCATTATCATTTCCGCTCTAGCCCGCACTCTTTCTATAGCTCTTTCTCTCTCTATTTAGACTTCTCTTTCACTCCTTTGTTCGGTGCAAAAACTTTCACCCTCTCATACGTCCCCTTGTGTCAAAGTTTATGGGCCATGCATTTGCGGAAATGTCGCCTGCCAGTGTATTCTCGCTTTTACTCTGCGGTTCAGAGTTGGAATTCATGTAATTCCATTAACACAGACAACTTCCGCTAGAAGAGAAAATGGCCGAACACTCACACTAATGGCTGAAACGTGTGCATGAGTATGTGTGTGTATAAGTGGGCGGGTTGGATTTGGGTGGGTGGCTTGTTTTCTCGAACGGATTCTGTGGTGGAATCCTCGGATAGTGTTGATTCTGTGGCTGTTCACGGATAAGTCTAAATAGGTAATAGAGAAAATATTTTATATACTCGTATCTGTTAAAATTAAGATCGATTATAATATTTAAGTTAAGTTTCCACTGAAAACGATTGCATACTTTATTAACCGTAATGGAGATTTACCCTGCCGAAGGACCTCACACAAATACATTCCAGGCTAAAAAGAGATAATTATATAATATATATTTTTTCATATTTTTTAAGTTATTTATGACTTTTTTTTAAACGACTTTAAACTATTTAGCATATCTAGCTGAAAATACCAAGCCTAAACTAACATAACTGTCCCACTCCAGGATTGGCATCCTTTTGCCAGAGAGCCTAGGCGACATTAAAATTAAATTCCGAGATTCAAATGGCATATTTTACGATGGCATAAATCTGTCTCTGAGCAACAGGTTCTCATCAGTCCCTTGCCACCACATTTGCCCGTAAAATCTCCATGGGAAGCAATGAAAAACTTCCAAACGGAAATGACTGTCAGGCCAAAAGTGCGGAGCTTCGCCCATCCGGCCAGACATTTAGGATATCCGTTTAAACAGTATTTTCGCCCTCCTCGCTGTATATCTATCTATCCTTTTTTCCGGCTTTTAGGGATTTTATTTTCTTTTTCGAAGAGGATGTCACAAGGGGGGGTGGGGGGAGGGTGCTGAAGCATCCATTGCAATTCTAGAGGATTTCTGGGGAGCTCCAGCATTATAATTACAAAGTGCCTGGCTCAGATGGTTTCAAATGGATGTGCTCTAGAAGGTTCGATATGTGTCTGGGAACATTTCGCTAGTTTCATGCAAATTAGACATCTATTGCATTTATCCAAAAAGGTCTTAAAGGTCTTAGCCGGTGCGTTCATAAATCAAACCGCACATGTGGCCACTCAAAAAGTTCACTCCCCCATTTAAATCGGGTCATTTATCAATATTTGAACTCCCACACCCCCACTTGATCAGCTTTTTTCCTCCCCCTCCCCCTCCCCCTCTCTCACTCTCTATCTCTTTTTGAACTCGGAAGCGTTGGCATTTAATGTGATTTGTGTGCAACCCGTTGAGAGATTCGAAATCGACAGCATATGCGATTGGATTTGAGTTCATTTTGATGCAACATTTTGTGCCAATTTTGGGTATAAAATGGAATAATGTGGAATTAAATAATTGGCATAAATTTCTTTTTATGAATTTCATGAATGATATTTTTTTGTGATGGTTAATAATAAATTAAATGCTTTTTATAACCTAGTAATTTTCAATATGAATTCTTTGTAATGAAAAAGATTTATATGAGATTATTGAATATTATTAATTAACAATAAGCTGTAAGTAGTTCTTTTGTCTTCAGTGGAAAACTAAGATTAACTCTAGTATAAATATTTATATTGGGAAGTACCCTTCAGGTGGAGAGCATTCTTCGGCGCTGCTCAATTGGAAAACGTGCCGTATTCGGTTTTCGTGGCCAAGCACTTGACGTTTCAAAGCCAATGGCTTAATGGAAATTCGCGATTCGTGGGAAAAATCTTTCAATTGCAGTCGCCCCCCTCTACCAGAACAAAAAGCTGTTTAGACTTACCCACTGTATAATTAAGCAAGATTTGAATGAGTGGGGAATGGGAATGAGCTACGAGAGTCGCGCCTGCTACCGCCCACCATAACAAATTGAAAAACTCTCGATGCACTGGAAAAAATCTTATAGGCCATAATTTCTATAATCCACAATATAGTTTCATTTTTATATAGTTTTTATTTGTAGTGATTCTTATATATCTAACCCATATATTATTTGTTTCAAGTTTAAAATAATTATTAAATTTATTTAATAAGTTTAAATGTTATTCCACATTTATTCTCTCAGTGCTGGAGGTTAGAACTTGGTCGAATACTTGCTGGTTTGGACGTTGTTTGGTTGCTGCTTGGATTGTCCCGATGCTTGTCGGGTATATAGATATAGTCACACCTTTGCGATGCACTGCGGTCTCGGTCTCGGACTCGACCTTGAACTTGGTATTAGATGTGAAGCTCTCCAAAACCGGTTAACGGCTCTCGGAGGCTCTTTGTACTGCAAATTAATGGGTAAAGCGCAAGAAATCGGTGACAAGCACGAGGCAATGCCAACAACAAAAGAGCGTCTTAATGAAGGGTAAACTGGAAAAACAATTGCACGCTGGCAGGCAGGCAGTCTAGTTGAAAATATTCAAAAAATTTCCATTTCAAATGAGGGTACTAAGAGATTATTTGCTTTGATTTTATATCGATAAGATAGTCTTATTCAATTTTATTTTATATAATTCCCTTACATTTTTCGCTCAATCTGTTAAAGTCAACATTGAACTTTCACTTACCATTTAAATTCAATTTAATAATTTTCCTTGTTATGAAAAAAGGGGTTTTAATTAAAATTTAATTTACATTTTGAATAGAAAAGCGCCCAGCGATTAGGGTATGGTCGGGCCATTAAAGAAACACTTGCTATGCAGTTACAATTCTAATTGAAGGACCAGCCATTAAAATCCCGAGAGGGGGCCCCCAAAAGCTCTTTCAAAGCAGCCGCAGGCGCAAGAAAAACAAAAAGGAACCCCTTTAGAAGAGTGACTCGACTATTGCATACCTGAAAAGCGCATTATAAATATGAAATTGGTTTGGTTTAAGGCCAATATGTAGAAAAAAAAATTTAAAAAAATTTGATTTATTACAAAATTGTGTAAAAAGAAAATACCTTTCTTTAAGTTCGGATATACTAAGCTTCTGTACTATTAATGGGTATACTAAATATTTAAAAAATAGCAGCAACACTCCGACACCAACATGTTGCGCCCCGAAGAATTTTGCTGTGGCATGTGCGGGTTTAGGGGTGGTAAAGGGTGCTGGAAAATAACAGGAAGCCGGCAAGGAAACCACATCAGCCAGCTTAGACCTTATTGTTAATTGCACAAAAAGCTACTTAAGCCACAAGTCTTATTTACATAACTCTATGAAGGATTTGCAGTGTGGAGAAAGAATTTTCATCTTTAAATTTCACTCAAAATAATAGAACAACAATAAAGTATAAAAGAAAAACCAATATGATGTAGATTGTTTGCTAAAAATATTAAAAGTATAAATAGGCTTATGAACTTACAAGCTCTCTTTTTGGGGCTGCTCGATTTATATATGTATATTTTTACGACCACGCCCCCACAGCCTTACACGCACCAACCTGTTGACCGCCAAAAAACCTATTTAACTTAACGTGCCATGCCACGCCCACCATTGCGTGAGTGCCCCACGGGCGGCACCAAAGTTAAGCGCTGCAAAAAGCAGATAATTGCACGTTGGTGGGAAAAAAGCCAGAAACCGGTTTCGGCTGCCTCCTGACTTCCAACTGGCCTGCTGCTTCATGTGGCTGTGGCCAAAGACAACTGCAATTTGTTGCCATTTGCTGTTGTCGCCCCTTTTGAAGATCCAAGAACCAGGTCAAGGTTGCTCTGCGGCTGCGAAGATCATAATCGCGTTGCGATCAAACATGTTTGCTGCGAACTGGGAACGGACCAAAAAACTGTTCCCAGCTACTACAGTCGAAATTCTTTAAATCGAACCATAAACTTTAAATTATGAATGATATGTGAAATTTTGATAGAAATTTAATGGGTAAAAATAGATTTTATAAGTCAAAAATAAATTCATATACCTATCTAATCTCTTTTAGTGCTTTTCACAATATGGTAAGTTGCCCAGTTTATAAAACACATACTTAAATATAAATCATATGATTAATTATTTTAAAAGCAGTAAGTGCAAGCTACAGAATCTTTAGGCTTGCAAAAATCAAGTTTGGAAAGATTGACTGTATGGCAAAAGCTCAAGCTTTAATAATTCAAACTGACAGTCGCCAACAGGTAATTTTCGTGTTTTCGGGGAACAAGAAACGAATTTCTTCGCTTCGCCCTTGTTTTATCGTACAAATCGCAATCGACTTGCAAGTTGCTCTGTATTTTTAAGGCTGTTTTTAATTGTTTCGACTTGTTTACGAG